GTAACATTTTAAACAATAAACTCCATATAATATAAAATTTAACTCGCGCTTCTACTGGCACTTTGCCAGCAACAACAATCTCAAAGTAACTGACAAACTTTTCGCAGCTGTTATCGAATATCAGACAAATTAATGTTTGGCCAAATGTTTGTGAAAGTTAAAACAAAAAAATATTTAAAATTATGCTTGCAGAGATAGTAAACTAATTCATAATATATAACACTTGAAAGCTAAGCAGCTTAAATTGTCAGCATTTCTAACAGGCAAAGGATTTTAGACTAAGGCAGGGCAAACTGTTCATATATCGCACTCAAAAAGACTTTGTATGTAATTGTAATTTATATATACATAGACAAAAGACTGCGAACCATATAAAAGACTTCCTCTTAAGCACTGCTGAGTAGTTCATTGTCGCACAGCGAGACGAACGAAATCTTGGCAGCTGCCTAACTGGTCCCATTGCCAATTTCAGTCCAATCGGAATCCCGATTCGCCTTATAATAGCTTATGACACACTGCGCAACAATTTATTTCATTTTTTATTTTCCCCTTCAAACAAAAAAGTATTTACTCGAAATGCTGCCTACTACGACACATTTGGCAAGTTATAAAGCATTACATTTTTATTATACCCACTGAAAAAGCATAGAAGGTGTATAGTGATTGCATTAAAGTGTGTCTCCCTGGCAGATAATATATATATATATAATATATATATAAATATATATATAAATATACATTGCATAAACATTTTATATTATTTATATTTAATATTCCTATATAGCTTACTAAGTATAATTTTATAATTTTTCATTCCGTATTCTATTGCAGCTAGAAATGAAAAGCATATTGTTATAGGATTATGTCCTGAAATTTCATTATTTTCTTATTTTCTTATAGTGGGAAGCAACAAGCCCAGAAGGCACCAAGAAGTCTAAAATATTATGTTTCGGGGTATTTACTAGTCGAGCAATCCATCTAGATCGCTCTCACTTGTTTTTTTTTTAAGCAATTACTTAAGTGATGAAATAAGTGCTGCAATGTAGCTAGATACTTTTCACAGTTGAGCTGAACGAAAGCCAGTTAGCTCAGCAAAGCACGTATACAATGTATATATAACATAATGAGAGATATTAGAGAACCTAAATCTTAGTGCTTGCTGACCGTAAACACAAATGACAGACAGTTGAAAATAATAGAAATATGAAGGAACAAATATTTCAATTGAATTTTTGTTTTGCAAATCAAAACTATAAAAACTCACTCAGTTAGAGGAAAGGAGAAAGGATAGGGAGGAAATTCTAAGTACAAACCGGTACAATTAAGACTCTCTTTGCGCACTTTATTCGCAATACATAAAGTCTGATCATGTATAAAATTTAAATATACAAATAAATATATATTCATATTCATACAAAGTTATATTCAAACAAACATGTAAATATGAATAAATAAATATATAAAAATAATTACAAATTAATTTGAAACCTGCTCAATTCTTAGAATATGAAACACATTCTTTCTTATTTCTGTGCATTGCGACTTAGATTGAGTGTTGTGGAAAATTGTGACCTTGTTACTGTGCTAAGATGTGTGTGAGCAGAAAAAGCCGTTTGTACTCCCACATTAAGCCAAAGCAAGTTGCAAAAACAATTGAAAAGAAAGCTGCGGGTAGGAGAGGTTCGGCCCCAGGCCAAAAACTAAGACAGAGGGCAAACCTGCCCAGCCCCCGAAAGGGCGTGGTTGTTGTTGTTATTATTACTGGAGAGAACATGGTGTGGGAAAACAAACCCAGAAGTGAGGCAGCAAGAAGTCTGCGCTTCACGAGCCAGAAGCAAACATCATTAAGTAGAGTTTTCCACTAACTTCGCTCACATGGGTGTGCGTGTGTGTATTTGTGTACAAATGTATGTTTACACTGAGCAAAAAACATGTGAGCTTGAAAAGCTTTTTGATTAAAACGGGTCAAGGTGGATGGAAGCTCTTACTTTGCAGACTTTAAACTGGCCTTAAACAATGAACCCAAAATTTGGTAAATGTTAGAGATTTTGAAAAACTAAAATATTTTCATTATTAACAAGAAAAATCTATTCATAATAAATCCAACAAAGCAAACATTGATTCATACAGAACATAGAGCAAAGCAAACATTGGAGACAACCCTCGCTTAGTCATACTGTTTAGTGTCAGACAAGAAGAAGGCACAGAAGCAACAGCAGCAGCAGCAGCGACAGTAAAAGGCAGACAATGTGCGATGCAGTGGCAGCAGTAAAAAACCTCAGCACACAAGCTTTCATTCAAAAGGTAGCGAACAGCGAGAGAGAAAGAGAGAGCAGAGTGGAACCTTTTAGGAATGCTGTTGCACCTTGTTGCAGACACAACTCAGGCGGCAGCTTGTTTATAGCTATGCACCGCACATTGCAAATTTATAAAACAACAAAGACTGAGAGAGCGAAAGAGAGAGAAGAGAGAGAGAGCTGCCCTTGGGAGAGAAAATGTGCAATGCTTTTATCTTGAAGTCGGGCGAGTTCCCTTGATATAGCCGCAGCTCACATACTTTATTTTGAAACTGAATTGAATTGGAATTTCGTTTTGCCATTTGCCTTTTCCTTCCTTTTTTTTTGTCTGTCTGGCTCAAACTGTTTGGCTTGCAATTTGCAAACTATTTGTTGATGTTCGTCTATGCCTGCTTACATTATTTAGAGTCTATAAAAGCCAAAGCATGTGCATGGCACGTGCACACGTTCACAGTCTTAAATTTGATACTGTTTCATTCTGTATACTATAGACAGATGCATAATATTAAGGTTATTGTGAACCTCCCTCCCATTCTGAGCCAAATTGAATCAAATGTAAGAGCTATGACCTTGCGCCTAGATTATGCACAACATTCAATCTCAAACTGACAGAAAACTATGATCCAGCATTGAACTTATGCAAAAATGTAAAAAGAAAACAAATAAGAATGTCGCAATCCCACAGCACCGACTACGTAATACTCCAAAATAGTCTCAAGAGCGAGTCTGCAGTAACTAAACTGTCAAATTTTCAAGCTCCATGATGATGATTCCATGATTTTTGACATGTCTTCTATGCTCCCCTTATTCTGCTATATGCCTTATATGAAATTAGAGTTCCTCTGCTCGAGACCCACTTTCTATTGTAAGTCTCTGCTCATGTAGAATCGTGGGAACTGCTTCAACTAATCATCACATATATTTGTCGTTTAATTGTCGCTTTTAGTGTTTAAGCTGGCCATAGCTCTGACTTGACTCTTTTCAGAGCTGCTCTGTCAATTCCAAGTTTAATTTGAGCGCTAAATAAGTATGAAATGACTTGTAACTTGAGAGAACTACATTTAGCGGCGAGTCAAGGCAGATTTAAGATCTCAAACGATCTCAGGAAACGCTTAGAGATAAAACTCAAAAAATTCTTAAAAATTGTTAATAATTTTTATATGAAATGTTTGAAAAGATCATTTAAGGAACAGGATTATACAGGTGTTGTGACAGGTAAAAGTGGACTCGAAACGTCTACGTGTTTGTCAGTAAATAGGTGCGAATGAACATGTGGAACAAAAACCAAGCTATTCAGGTAGCTAAAGAGAACGTAGAAGATGAAAAAGAACCAGTTTTAACGACTTGTTGAATATTGAATGCCCTGCAAAGAAATGAGCAGTCTTATCAGACATATTTATACATGTATATATACCTACATATTGTACATACAAAATATGCATAAAATATGTGTGTATATCGACTAATTTTAATAGCTTACATCAAAATAGTTTACAATTTTTTCTAGTCTTCATATATTGCACAAGTTTTCTACAGAAACTAATAGGCTCATGGCAAGGGTATAGTAAACAAACAAAATGCCGACGCGCAGAGAGTAAATGAAAACGAAATCTGTGCACAGCAGCGAAATAGAAGAATAAAAAGAAAAAGACGTAAAAAGCAAACAGAAAGAACAGAAAATCACAGAACAATCCACCTGTCATGGCCAATATGCCGGACGCCCGCGCTCTTTCTCTCTTCTCCTCTCTTTAAGCGATCGTGGTAGAAAATATAGAAGAAAAAAATGAAGTTTATTATATAAAAAAAATTCTACAAAAAAATAATACATATATACAGTACATTGTGCATATATATTAAGCCACACACACATCTTAAAATAAGAAATGGATGTTTCATCTGTGCTCTACGCCACTTTCTTATACTGCGTTTCAAGCAACTAGTTTCTTATAAGAGTTGTGTATAAGAGAATGAGGAAAACATGTGCCGACTTGTCTATCTTTAGTAATGCATTAGAAAAGGCAAGGTGAGGTAAAAATATAGTCATTGTGATTAATGAACAGATCTGAGCTATAAAGTCTGTGATATATGTTCATTGCCTGAGTAATTATGAGACGTCTTAGAATTTTAATTCAATTCCAATTAGACATTCAGGCGCGTCTCGTACTCTGTTGAAGGTTTGCCTTTGGGTCAAGTTCATTGCAACAATGTAAAAATTAAAAACAAAAATAAAAAATATTGATTCAAGTGACGATTTTGTTGTGGGCGCCCATAAAACTCAGAGCTCTAATGGGCAAATGTTGTTTTACTGGTTGCGAGCCTCTTCTAACGGTTGTTGCTTGCGCAGAAATAAATGCCGCAAATGGCCTTCAAAGCACAAAGTCCGCACTCGAAGTCACACAGCTTCGTGCGCGTTTGTGTGTGTGTGCACAAACATATATATTTATGCAGCCACATGTACACTTGGCTTCCAAAGATGCGTATGCGTATACACATACATGCTCACGTACATGTACATACATGTCAGCTGAGCGCTGGCACACCAAAAAACCACCCCCAAACCGACTAAGGCCCCCATAGAGCAGCTTGACAGAAATTTCGGCACATCGAGCCAGCCTTGGAACAGCATCCATAGGAATTTTCAACCCCATTGATTAAGAGAAACTGTGTCAGAAATGCGCCAATTAACGGTACTCGTACACTCACCTCGTTTACTTTTTTTCTACCTTGTTGCAGGCACAGAAATTTGAATGTGGGCTGGACGTTAAATCGAATGGCAACTGTGTGTTCGATGCTGCTGCGGTCTAAGACGTCGACGTCAACGTCAGCTTTAGTAATAGCAGTAACAACAGCTAGACGGATTAATGAAGCGCGCTCTCTGCTCTCTTATACACACTTACTCACGCACACACGTACTGACGACGTCGTTTTGATTCACTCTTATTTGATTTTATTTTTATCTTTTATCTTTATTCAACAGCGACGTCAGCGTCAGCGTCGCCACTGACAATGACATTTTCATACAAACACACGCGGCGCTGGTCAGCGAAATTTCTTGTTGATGTTGCAGTCTGAACTTGGGGCGGCGCGAGGCGTGGGGCTGCAAGTTCTCCAAGGCAGGCTGGCAGGTGCATTTACAAGAGCTCACACACACGCACACAGTTACCGCAGCTACCACTATCAAATACTCTGACACGCACACAAACACGCGACACGAAGCGCAGACATGAGAGACAAACAAACGATGCGGACGCTGGCACCTGGCACTTTGCTTTCATACTCTTTTTCTTTGTAAATTTCTTATTTTATTTATTTTGCTTTTTTTGCACGCGGCGACATTGATGGCTTCTGTTGCTGCAGCACATTTTAGTCGACTTTATTTTGATATAATTTCTATCTAATCGCGGGACCGTGTTTGCTTTCCACGCTAAGATAATGCTTAATGGCCTCTTATCTAGCGTTTTGTCGCCTTTGCATACACTTTTTCTCGTAATTAATAATATCTTTTAAGCAGCCGTGTCCCGACGTGCTGATTCTTCGGCGTCAAAACAACAACAACTATTAACAACAAACCAAATATGCCCGTATCACGTATATCTATAAATGCCAACTATAAAAAATACTAGCAATTTGCAACAGCCCAGTGATATTCTGGTATTTTTAGGTCATTTTGAAGTCGGAGAAATGTGTTCATTAAAAGAAAATGAAATGTGATTATGGGCTGTTATAAAACGACTTATATTCAAAAGAAAGACAAGTTTGAAGTCCTCTTTCACTTAATTTTATTATTTAGTTATATTTGATCACCTTCTTCAAAAGTCATGCAAAAGCTCAACACTATAAGCACGAGCCGTGTTTCTTCAATGAGACGCCAGATGACTAAGGTATTTTCAAGACGCGGCGGCCTGCGGCACAACCGACATGGTGTGGCATGTCAAAAGCTGAACGATATGCATAAAACACGCAAATATAAGTGTACATTTTGAAAAATAGATGGTGCTTTACTCACAAGCTTATGCCTTAAATACATTAAATTATAAATACATGAATTATAAATTGTTAACGAGCACATTAATGTGTATGATATGCAAGCGTATGAGGTTGCTAAACAAGCAATCTACTAACAATTGAAATGTAAGCATATTGATGACAAAATCTTTAGTTGACTATGGGCTCTGTCAATTATTATCGATAATCGAGCATTTTTGCGTCGCTGTTAGCGCACGTTACTCGATCCTTTGGCTCGTACTTCAAATCTTAGATAAATTCAAATCTTATGACATAAATAAAGTTTATATAAAATTTCAGAAATTGAATATTAATTTGGAATTCAAGACAAATTGCAATACATCTAACATTTTAGTTAAGTAATCCATGACAACAAATAGTTTATTTATTATTTACTTTATAAAATACGTCAGTTCAAATCTCAACTTAAAAGTAAATAGTTAATACTTTCAGCACTAATCATATATAAGTCATTTTTACCCAGCTAGGAATACATTTACATAAGTCGAGAGCTCTTTAAGCTCAAAAGCAAAGTCTATCTACTCTCGTATAAAGTTTTTGCGTAATATTTTTGAAATGGATAAAGTTCGGCTGCTCTTCCTCTCCCTCTCCCTCTCCCACTCTCTAGCTCTGTCCTTCTCTTTTGCAGCATCTTCTCGATCGTCTAGCGTCTTTTATCTGTTGATGATAAGAAAAACGACTGTGATAAGAATGATTCTGAAGACAAATTTGCTTACGTAGGAGATGTTTTACAATATGCTTGCTTAACGCTCATAAATCATATTTTATGTACTATATATATATGTGTATATATATTTCTCTTATAGAGCTCGCTAAAAATACATCGTGTAATCAACTCAACGACAGAGTTTTTATTATGTTTCACATATGCAAAATATCTTCAATAAAGAATATTTAAATTATTTATTTATATTCCATTTTTAAACTCTATGTTTTAAGCTCATTGTATTTAATGCAATTCAAGTCTCGTTTAGCTAACAATCTTATCTGTACAGTTATAACTGAATTTTAGCTATTTTTTCGCCTGCCGCAAACACTTTTTGTGTTATATGTGAGCCATAAAGGACTTTGGGTTCAAAAAGGGCATTTTTTATTTGAGTTTTTTATTTACTGCGAAAGCGGTTCTTGAGTTTTTTATTATATTTTATTTATTTCAAACTATTCCTCATATTTTATTCAGTTGAAGAGGAGGAAATGCATGTATAAATATAAAAAACTCTTTGAACGCGCCTCGTATATGTAAAAATATATTCATAAATATATCAAATATATGATTCTAGGCATCTCTAGAGGGGCCAAGTGACAGGTGTTTACTCTCAATGTGCAAAGTCTTATTCGCTCACATGTAACGGAGGAGCACATGGCTGTGGTTACCAGGCGGCATTAGACGGCGATCGTCAGGCTGATAAGCACCTGTTGGCAATATCAATCAATGCGATTTATGCAGTTTATCAATTAATTGTAAAGTTTTGTTGTTGCCTCGTTCCATGTGATCGAAGTTGGCATCGAAGTTTCGAATAGTTTCGTCGCGTTGTCGTAGTTCTGTTCGCCATTTCGTTTAGCTCGGCTGGAAAAGACGTGGCGCGTTTTTCATTTACTGTGAATAGTTTTCCCCAAACGAAATGCCTAAAACTTTTACAGCCCAGCGTCAATTTTCGTGTGCAAAACTTTTCGCCAAGCGAGTGCCTGGCCAAGACGAGCCCTTGGAGTCCTTGCCATCTTTTGAAACGGCCTACGAATATGGCTGATGAGCTTCAAGCCACAATTCGCAGTGAAAGAGTACAAGAAATATATATAAAAATTAATATCAAATGAAAACAAATATATGAACTATATATACTATATATATATAGACGTTAAAGATTCAATAAAAAATAAGAAAACGTATTTAATAAATAATAAAGAAAAAGGCAGTAAAAATTTTAAAATATTTGAGAATTAATCAAGATAAAATAATAAATATAATAAAAACTATAATACATAATAAACAACAAATAGTAATATTATAAATTATTGCTGATATTTAAAAATTTCCACTAATATTTTAAAAATATAAATAAATAATAAATAATATAAAAATAAAATAATATAATAAATATACAAATTTAATTAAATAATGTTAATAAATATGAAATATATACATATATTAATTATTATTAATTAAATACAAATTTAAAGTTATAAAAAAAATTTTAAAAATTTAAGAATATTTAGCAAATAAAATAAAAAAATAAACAAATGATATATAAAATAATAAATAATTTTTAATAAATAGTAAAAATTTAAAGAAATGGTAAAGCTCAGTTGAAGAAATATTTCCAGCCTAAAATAGTGCAGAAAGAGAGAAGAATCGAGTATCAAAAGTCGATTCCATAATTATAAATTATGAACTCAACTTATATGTTAAGTCTTCAGAAACAATACACACACCTCGCTATATATATATATAAAATCCTGACATAAATTTCGATTCTTCTCTTGATGATTTTCCATCTTTCCATCGATCAAGAACTCTTAGCATTTGCTCTTGGCTCAAGTGATCTACTCGCAAGCGTGAAGTCGCCGTTCTAAAGAAGCATTAAATAGATCTCGCAGCCGCTGCAAGATTTGCCTTTATCACACCTCCGCGTAAACCTTGGCCTAACCGCAATCTCTCCACTGTCGAGCTGTCACTCTGCGTGACATTGTTGCGCGTCAGTCGTCGCTCATTCAAAAGAAAAGCAGAATATCACAGAATAGACATTATCTTTGGGGTATCTCGACTGTCGTCTGCTCGGCTCAGCTGAGAGCAGCGCAGCGCCGTCTCATGAGCTGTCACTAATACGGTAACTGCTCCAATTTAAGTTAGAATCTCAGCAGCATCTCGTCTGGGGAAGTGAGCAACGCTGCTGCTGTTGCTCTCCATAGATTAGCTGGCGAGCGTGAGTTCAGCTCAGGAGATTGCAAAAGATATTATACAAATGCACAAATCTATATGGCCAGTGCGATAAGAGATTCTTCCATAGCTGTTCACTCAGTCTCGGTGCGAACGGCGACTGTGGAAGTGGAAACGCGCAGCCCAAAAACCAACCAAAAACCGAATTCCCCCAAAGATATTGAAAAGCACAAATATTAAGTATACGCCATGTAGGCATATGAAGTGCATTGAGTGCAGAAGCCAAGCTGAGAAAACCTTGTAAAAATGCAAAACAAAACTAGTGAAATTATTTAAATGAAATAAATAAATAAAGCCAAAGAAACCTTGAAAAATAATAGAAAATTAAATTAGTAAAAAGCACAAATCTATTTTTACAGTGTAACAAAATGTAACAAGTACATGAAAAAGAACAAAATTTAAATATATATTTAAAAAATAATAAATAAAAAAACAACAACAACAATTTGGACTTTTGTGCGCCGTTTATGATCACAAATTTCAATTGGATTTAATCAAAAGCATAAGAAAACTCTGCCACAGACCCAAACACTCAAGACACGCACACACACAGTCTATTAGTTTGCGCGCGTATTAGTATACCTGTGTGTATGTGTGTGTGGGTGTGTGTCCCAGTGTCGTCTGACCGAGAAACTCAGAAACTAAGACGCTGCGTCGCTGCATTTCATTGAAGCGAACTTCAAACAGCCAAACACAACAGCCAACGTGTGTGTGTGCATGTGTGTGTGAGTGTATCTGAAAGTAGCCGAAAGTATCTTTTGCAAGATGGTCAAAATGGCCAGCGAGGAGACGGTCACCGAGGCGACACGCACCGAAAAAGTCGAATTGTCGCACTTTGGTGAATTCTGTCAGCGTCGCGGCATTAATCCCAATTTGATAATGCTCAAGATAACGCTGTTTGTCATGTATGGAGGTGAGTGCGCACAGATACAGTTACCATTGCAGATACAGATATATCTATAGATAAAAGACAATGCCATTAAAAAGTAATTATAAAGGTGCAGCCGAGGCGGGGGCTCTGATGAGTTTCTGGCTAAACGAAACGTGACGTCCAATCAACTTCTTGTCAATGTTAGACAGCAGGTGTCTTTTTTCTACCTGTTTACTGATAAGAGTAGTAAACAGTCAGCTTAAGCAATTATGATAATTATGTTAAATATGCCAGCCCAGATTTGGCAGAGATTAACTTCTTGATTCCTATTTGCCAGTAGGTTAGACAAATAGCCAGAGATAAATTAAATTTTGGAAAAAGATTTCCACTGAACTTAGCTGAGAGACAATTCAAAGTAAAAATATAAAAATCTAAAGCAAATAATAAGAAGTTTCGTTACGTAAACGAAATGCGTTTCAAATTCTCTTTGCAATATTTTTGCTTTATTTTTCGCAACGAGAGACATAAAACTCTCAAAGAAGGATTTATTATATGTGCACAAAAAGTATTGATAAAATTGATTTATATATTTGATATATATTTGGTGTATATAGATTGATATATATACAAATATATTGATGGATTCTACAGAAATATATTCGAAATAGCATGCGAGAGCGCATTGCCTCGAGAATCAAATTGCAGTGCTTTAGTAGGGAGAGCCAGACTAATAT